TCCTCCCACTGCCAGCGCGTTTCGATAGTAAATGGCAACCCGCAAAAAGCATTTTTAAATCAGCCACACAAAAACACAGAAGCGACATATTCCCATTTGATTTATCTGTTTTGCACTTCTTTTACCCAAAATAGGCCTTTCTGTTCGTCATCTAAAGTAGATTAGTGCTTTGCATACCTAATTTTTCGAATTTAGCGAAATGCAAACAGCAGTTGGGCAAATTTCGAAACAGTTGGCATTGAAAAGCACATTACATCAGGTGATCAATCGAGCCCTTTAAAGGAAGAATTGGCTGAGCTCAGATTACCCAGCTTGGAAGCAAACAGCAGCGGCAGCAGCACCGAGGTTATTCGCATATCTCTTTAATTTCGCTGCTTTTTATGTGTTTTTACTGTGCATTCTGCTATAGCGCTGCTACAGCGAACAAAAACGCATATTGTCGCGTTGTCTGTGTGTGTGTGTTCGAAATCGAGTGAACTTTGTCACCCACTTTCATCTCAACAACTAGGATCCCGTGTGTCATCCTCTCATTTTAAAATTTTCGCTCACACGCGCCTAGACCTCGCGTATGGACTTCCTAAAAAAATATGCCAATTTCTTTGGCGGGAAACGATTTCCAGAACCAGGCAAGATATAAAGTTGAAACTTTGCAGGAATATTCTCTGTGCATGTGTGAGCTAAAGATTACAAGTCCAGCTGTCGCGCATGCTTGTGAAGCGCTTACAACCATGTCGAAGTTTACACTTGGTACTCTCTTAACTCGGAAAATATCGGGAAAACAGTGGCTGAAATTTTATCAGCGTGTTTGTCGCCCAAATGGGAATTTGTATACCTAAATTGAATTCCGATTTGCACTTGCGCCACCGCTTAGGGCACTTCAAAGGTATTTGTAGCGATGTGACTATTTCGTTTACCGGAAAAAATGCGAGGCTGAAACTTCGTTGGGATATTCCACTTTCAAGTGCGGTCTTCTTAGAGGTGAAATTCCGTGCAGGTGGTTGTGAGAAATACTCGACTTTACCGCAACTCAGGAACGAGTGCATTTGGCAATGAACGGCCGCCTTCATTCTCTCTCAGCATCCAGTTCATTTAAACATTTGGATTTTTTGACGAACGACCGCTGTAGCAACATTCCAATTTTTAGTGAAGAACTGAAATTTTTACATTTTTCAAAAACTTGCGTTTCTCATTTTTTCAAAAGGCGAGCATTTACCAGGAAAAACGACGCTTTTTATGCAGAAAAATGGTAATCATGTATCTTAGGGTCCATGCAGCCTTATAATACAACGCCTTCATTCCAACAGATGCCCTCTCTCCTGCGTGCCGGAAGAGGCCAAAGCACGACCAATATGAGTCCAAGTGTTAGGCCACAGTGCAGGGATCATTCTTGCTATTAGCGATCTGCGAGTTTAGTGCGAAAATGCATGATCGCACTGGCAAGCTTAGTGCGTTCCAGTCTGGGTTTGATCTTACTCCTCACACTGATTCAAATAGTCTTGTGAAAAAATGTGCGGTTGAACTTGGGACTATGCCTTTGGCTGACATGCTTTTACTTTTGAGTCTTGGAATCACATCTCGATCTTCCCCGCCGCACTTCCCAGTTTCGATATCATACGTGCGACAGGCTAGCTGTTTATGCTATTTTCAGTCAGCTCTAGCTAATTGCTTTGTCAGTGACCAGCTCTGGGTAAATGATAGTGATCGTGGTGATGTGATCGAAGAAAACGATGAACAAGCATTCTCGGGTGCCGGAATATATGAATCTCTGAATGGAACTGAAAAAACTAACAGCAGCAATGCCGGGTATAGTTCTTTTTCATTCATTTCTGTGGATTTTTAGTGGGTCACGAAACGAATGATAATATTGGCCCTCACGTGATATCGGCCCGCGTTTCCTGGGTTAGTAGGAAATATGCTTTTTGCAAAGAACAAGGGGGGAAGCGGAAGGGGGAGGAGGGGAGGTAAGCGAAGGAGTTGCTGTGCTTAGTAAGATTAATTGTACCAAAAACTTGCTGGACTGTTGGGTTTGTTGTACGAAAAAAAAAACAGCACTTAGTTTTATTTGATAGTATCGCTTTTGATTTCGCGTACGCAGTCATCCAATACTACAGTTTGTGTTTTTTGAAGCAAAGTCTCGAAGTTATTGTTTAGTTTTCAAACTTGGCAACCCGGTCTCCACTTCTTTTTAAAAAAATCACGCTAAAGCTAAGTGTGGAAGGTTAATATGCGTGAAGTGAGCTGCAGAGGGATATTGTAATATTATTGACTGGTACCTGTTCCTTGTCTTGAGATGATTTGAATTCCTCTGTGAGGGAGCTTGTTTTCTCCCTTTTATCAGTTTTTCTCAGTGATACCTTAATATGTCCGGAACAGTATTGATGTCAGAGAAAGAGACCGCGAAAATGTAACTTCCCTCCATGGCGTTTCTGGGAAAACAAATTCACTAGGGCTTTGAGCTTTTGGTGGAATTCGCGGTTTTATGGCTTCTGTCAGTCCTTATGTTCGCCGTAGAACCTGCGATAAATTCTTCCGACCGACCTTCACTTCCTGTTTTGAAATTGAAACTCCTGAAGACTGTCATATTTATATATTATGTTGTAACGCTGCATCGATTTCCTTGTTCAGAGTCTCAGTGTCATCATTTGCGGTCGCTGAAGTAGTCCTATAGTTTTCTACTAATGTCACTCTGGATTTTCTGCTGGTACCAGCAGTGAGCACTGCAGCTTGTCTGGCATTTACTGGAATCCTCGACCACCTTTCCTTCTCACCCGCCCCTCTTGGAAATGAGAGAAAGGCGATAGCACATGCTCTGTAGGTCGACAGGAAAAATGAGCATATTAAGTTGTGATTTTGTATTTTACAAATTTAGGCCTGACAAACTGGTATGGCTGGCAGTGAGTATCATTGAAGAAGCTCTAGCATTAAAGCTACAGTGGCAGGAATCGACGGTCCGAAAAGACTTTTTAGAGTCACTAAATATCGATGCGAATCGGGTTGGTTTTCTTCTTTCTGTTATGCTTCTGTTGAATTTTTCTTCGGATTAGCAGATGTTGAATTCTTTTTTTTTGTCTCGAAAATGTCCTTTTTCTTGTACGTCG